TATTCCTAAATCATCTCCACTATAGGATGAATTAAACTGCCCTTACAAAAATGTAAACTGCTACCAGTGTAAAGTACAGCTGTTAGACTGATTGACTTTAAGAATAAACACAATCCCCAATAAGACACATTATGAATCACAAATCACAGATCTTTCCAACTGATGCTACAACCACTCCAAGTTACAGCATATTTTCAGTTAAGTTAATGAGCAGCAGCTGCTAAAAATACCATGGTTAAAGGGCACACAGGAGGCACGGAGTACAAGTGGCATAAGGCCAAAAGGTAACGTGCCCGTGCCTACCTGACATGAAGACTTCACAGTATGTGTAAATAATTAAAATCAGTGATGTTAACTGTAACGCTGTGCACCAATAAATTTTTTGCTCAAGGTTACACCGACAGCACCTCGCACTGTTGGAAATTGGTGTAATTGGCTCAGCATCTGCACTAATGGAGTTACTGTTAGCAACAAACACTGCAAGTCTGTCTAAATTTAGCACCATGATGAAGACTGTGTTGCTAAGAGGTAGTTAATACCATGGTGCTGTAATGCAATGGGACAAGTCAGCAATCCCTTTGAGAGACAATACTGACTGTCTATATAAAGTGCTTGCCTAAATTGTCACCAGATTAGCTATAAGGGGCTTATGTGGACGTATGTGACCTTACACAACCAAAGGTTAAAAAAATAAAATAAACAAACCGAGAGAGACTTAAAATGGTGTGTGAACATAAACTATTATAAAGCTAGTCACTGTGGTGCCTTTAGAAACACAAGCCAAAAAAAGCACTAAAGAAAAAAATTCCTCCCTCTCAATAAACATGAAGCAATAGTTTTGAGTGAAATGTAATTGAAATATATTATATCAAAGTTTTTTTTATTTGAAATATTAATCATTAAGGAAATGTACTTGGTATAAACTGAAAGTATAGCAATCAAGTAAAGTTCAAATCAACAGATTTCATTACATTTAACGGTAAAATTAGACTTATAATTTAGATGTAGTTAAATTTGTTCAAGTTAGCATTTTGGGCATTTTGGAGAGTGTGTTTGTACCACTTTTGCCTCCCTCTTAGTGTCCTCGTCCATGTTTTCCATCTTTTTTTAATGTTTTTTTATTGTCTCATGTTTTAAGTTTTAACTTTCTATTCCACTTTTAATTTTGTCATGAAGGCTCTCAATGATATCAAGGGTCACAATCTAGATTTCTGCTGGACCCCAGAGTATGTTAGGCCCAAGCCAATAGCTACCCAGACTAGAGGCCAGCCAGTCGACTTTTAGCTTGCTTGCTCAGCCTAAACTGCTGTTTGCTAGCCAGTAAAAATATCAACTTTCACACAGTTAGCTAATTGCCTAACTGATTTCACCTTTTTGGGAAGGGGACATGCTGGTGTTCTTCATGTATGCCCAGCAGCCTTGGTGATATCTCTTAGCCTCCTGGGTCACTTAAAACCAATTTAGCTCTTGAGTCATCTGGCACCCTTCTTTTTTTCTGA